TTTCTGGCAAATTCAGATGGGCCATTGACATTGGGTAGGATCCTGCTAATGTTATTAATGTATTCTGTTACCTTGGTGATGACTGAGTCGATATGTTTCGAGAAAGTCAGTCTCTTGTCAATGGTGATTCCTAGATATTTAAAGGCATCGGAGAAAGAGATTCTAACGTTGTCTACATAGATAAAATTGTAGAGGTTGTTAGGAATGCTTTTGCTGTTGGCGTAGCAGACAATTGCAGTTTTATGGGGAGCAATACATAGCCCCAATTTTTTAATATTTTTAACAGTGATTAGAGAGGCAATAGCCGCTTTAGTTCTGCACTGGAAAAAGCAGTTAGCTGAGACCAGTATCAGCGTATCATCCGCATATCCGGTGTTTTCAACCCCTATCGGCAGATTGGACCTAAAAATAGAGTCAAATCCTATATTCCACAAAGTGGCTGCAAGGACAGAACCTTGAGGTACACCGGCACTAACTTTTTCAGTAATGGTTTCGCCAGATTGTGATAATCTCTCGATTTCTGAGATAGTCGTAGATAATTTTAACTAGGTAATTAGGAAATTTTTTATCAACTAGCCCTTTAATGACCACGGCAGTTTATTAAAAGCATTTGAGATGTCTAAGCTAATCGAGATGGATACTTTGCCTTTACTAATGTTAGAGCGTATCCGACTGATTACTCTATGAATTGCTTGGATAGTGCAACGTCCTTTTCTGAATCCAAACTGCCATTCGGAAAGATTATTATTTGTGTTTCTCATGTGGTTTTCTAGACGCGCCACGATTGTTCTTTCAAAGATCATGCCAAGATCATCTAATAGGCAGAGGGTCCTTAGGCGGATGGGTCCGTAGGTAGTTTATTAGGTTTGCTTAGGAGAACCAGCTTTGCTTTTTTCCAACTGGAAGGAAATAGTACATTACGATACAAGTGCGCAAAGTAGGTGATTCGCGCACGAGCGGAGTTTGGCGCCCGAGCGAAGCGAGGGCGCCAAAAGAGCGAGTGTGAGTACACCTACGCAGGGCACGCGTATCGTATACTATTTTTCCTACGAAGTGCGTAAAGCGGTGTCGCGAGGACGGGGAAGGGGAGTGCTCGGGCGCGGAAGGGGGGGTTCGGGGGGGCGAAGCCCCCCCGAATGGAAAAATGATAATTTGAAAGTCTTGTTACAAATTTATATTTCACATTTTTTTATTATTATTAATATTAATCGTAACATTACAATTAATAAATTGAACGTTTTTTAAATTATCTAAATCGGTCACATTTATGTCCATATTTTTTAATAAATCAGAATTTTCATTTTGTTCAACATTAAGAATATTTATATTATTTTCATCCGTGTTATTCTCTCTAGACATATTTGTTTCTTCATTATTTACTATTGATTCAGTTATTATATTTCCATCGAGCTTTAAACGCTTTGAACTCATTGACCTTGAGGGTATTGCGCTTTCAATGCGATGGCCGATCGCTTTTTTATTTGAAATCGATTCTTCAATATACCCTTCCGCAACTGTATTCGATTTCCACCCACCGTGTCTTTTCAAATCCGTAATATCTCCTCCCGCGTCAACAAGTATCGTGGCGGATGATCTCCTAAATGTATGTCCTGTATACAGCTCAGGATTTTCTAGTTTAAGATATTTGGCTATTTCCTGAGGTACACTACCAATCTTGTTAATGCCAAGTGGCTGTAAAACACATCTCCCTGCTCTATATTTTAAAAAAAATCTGTTTGTTTTTGAATTATTTGGCCTTCTTTCCATATATTTTTTAATTATTGTATAAAATTCGCCAACTACCGTAAATGTTCTAGTAATTTTAGTTTTTGTTTTTTGTAGTGTTATGGATAAAAATGTACCATGGTCTTGTACGTCTTCTGTACATAAATTTGTTAATTCCTCTCTTCTGCATGCACCAGAAAGTCCTATAACCAGTAATGCCTATAAAAGAAATGATTACAAGTTTTTAATTCACAAAAAATGTCACTATACATTAATTAATACATATGCACATATAAAATAAATACCTTCATGCCAAGATATTCTGCATCGGGTGCTTCTTCGAGAAACTTCGACACGTCAGCTGTTGTTAATACTTTTGATTTTTTTGGCTTATATCCCGAATTCTTTTTCTTTAAAAATCCTATTAATTGTGGATATTTACTTATATCAATGCCATCATACGCTTTGATTGTCGCTTTCAGCATGGAATACTTTGACCACAGTGTCGATGCAGCAAACTTAGAACCTATTTCGTTGAAGTATACTAATAACACAGCTTCGGCGAACGAATTTGTATTTTTTGTACTACGCCACTTTTTGAATTCATTATATACTATTGTATATTTTCGTTTGGAAATATTGGGCAACGAATTGAAGGCGATTTCTTTTGCTGCTGCAAGCATTTCAGGTGGCACATCATCGTCTTTACTACCACTAGCATGAGTACTCATTGTCTTCGACATTTTTCTTTTGAAATTAATATTTGAATAATACTTTTATGGGAAAGGGGATTTCAAGGTATCCCTTCCACTGGATGGGAAAACGATCAGAGTTTACTACTTTTAACAAAAATCTTTATTCAACGTCTTCACACTGATTCGCTCGGTTCACGATTGACCTCTCAAGCTTCGGATTCAGCCCCTTATATTTCACACACCACACACCACACACTCCTCACACATTCTTCACATATTCGTCAATTTTCCTATCATACCGCTAACGTTGCCGCCAAACGGACACGTGGAGTCCCAACGGCTCGCGGCGGCCCTTGATCATCGACACCATCCGCGGAGCTCGAAACATTTTATAAACAATATCGACTCCGCTCGGATAGTTGCCGATAATCCGCTTCCGCTGACCTCCGCGGGTCCTCCACGCGCCTCCCGACGACACGTGGCCACACACATCCTTACACTCATGCATCCTTACATTCCCACACTTTTGAACTTGAACTTTTCTTTTTATTTAACCACCGCACAAGAACACTACAAATCAAATTATATCAATGAACAGAACTAACGCACAATCCGTTATGGAAATTAGACAGTTAATGAATGAATATTGATTAAACATTTAGACATAAGACGATAGACAAAATCAATTAGAAATTTCTTGGCTAAGCGCGATATATTTGAACAAATTGACGGCTCTGCACGCTCTTCTCAGCGTGCGGGAAAGTGGTACTTTGCGCACGCATTTTAGTGCGCAAACTCGAACTTTGCGCACGATAGTAGGAAAAATGGATTTTCTTAATCATTCCGTAAAAAGATTAGAGAAAAATTGTAAGTTAGTGGAGATTAAACGTCCCACGATAAAATATGGTACGCCTGATGGGCCAGGGGCAGTATTTTTCTTCATCATTTTTTTAACTGCAATGAGGATCTCGTCAGAAGTAACATTGAGCTCTGTCTGCCAAGCAAAGTTGCTGACTTTAAGTTTAGGATTGACAGCATTAGGAAAGAGAGATGAGAGAACAATGTCTAAAGTAGCGGGTTCAATTGACTCTGTTAGTGGAATAGTTGACGTGGTTAACTTTTTTGTAGCCCATTTATATGGAAGACCCCATATATCGTTGTCTACATTGTTTAGGAGTTTCTTCCAGTTATCATTTTTTGCTTTTTCGATTGCATACTTAAACTTCTTTTTGTACGAGCGATATAGCTTTTCTTTAGCTAGAGTTACTAAAGAGAAAGGTTTTATCAAGCATGTTTTCTTAGAGCGTTGCCAGCTCCTATGAGCTGTTTGGCAGCGTCGTCTCATTTGATTAAGTTCGGGAGACCACCATGCTTGAGGCGGTAGCTTAAAAAACGGTGAATGTTTGGACATAGAAGAATTGCAAAGAATATGCAACTGTTTGTCAGTGTAGTCAATTTTCTTAAAAAATGCAGAGTGACGTGTCAACTCGTTGTTCCAAGAGATAACGTTCGTTAGGGTGTCACAGGTGTTGGAGTTAAAAGATTTTATATTCCACCTAGGAAAAAGAGGAGGTTTGGAGTTGTTTGTTTTGGAAGGAACATACCTGAGATAGATATATCGGTGATCTGACAGCGTTTCCCTATCGAGCACCTTCCAGTTTTCAGTACGACCAGTGGCTGTTTGCCATCGTGATATCCACGATTGACGAGCAATGCGATTTCACATATGTCGGTTCGCTGCCCGAATTTAATATTGTTAGGTTATTAGATCGGGCCCATTTGGCGAGTGTAATTCCGCGTAAATTGTTTTTCAGACTGCCCCATAGGATGTTATGGGCATTGAAGTCGCCGCCAATTAGAATCGGGTGATCGTAGTATTTGGAAATATATCCGCTGATATCTCTCAGTCGATTCTCAAAAACGACACGGACCTCTCTCGGCGGGAAGTATACTGAAATTAGAATAAGGATGTTTACCTGAATTATTACTACGTTATTGGCATTAGCAATAACTTTAGGGTTTGATTTGAGGGAGCAGTTTATTACGATGGCTGCTCTGTTGTCAGTACCACCACCAATCCATCTAGCTTTGATAGGGTTATATGGTTCAGATACTAAGGCGAAGTGTATGCCGTGTTCTATCATGTACGCTTCAAGAAGCGATTGAGCTGCAGATGAATGGTTTAGATTGGTTTGTATTATATCTATAGGTATGTGCGAGGATAAGGTATGTTTTGGAGCCATTAGGTTAATTGTTCAGTCATAGGCTCCTCCAACCCAGTCGTGGAAGCGGTTATAGAACGGTTATTCGACTTTTTTGCCTGGACGGGATGTTGCGAGTTGTTCTTCTTATAGTTTAAAAGAGATTGACAATTCGCCGAGCCCATCTTGTGATTGTGGCTGAGATTGTTTGTCGTGCAGAGTCTGCATGTCAGATTGTCGGACGGACATGGATTTGGTGTGTGGCTTTTATTGCCACATTTGTAACACCATTCCGACATGTTATTAGAGGTACAGTTACCTCTTACATGGCCATAATTCCAGCATTTATAACACTGAGCTGGCCTATTCTCTAAGGGTAAAATACGAGCAGTAGACCAGCCAATAGTTAACGTTTGTTTTTTAAGAAGCTTGAAGGCTGCATTTTCATCACATTTGCACCAAACGGTGACAGTGCCTCTAGTGTTAGGTCGTACAGGGCCAAGGATGAAATTCTCATGGGGACCACATGTGGCCTGGAGAGCGTTGAGAATTTCTGTTTGTGTAGCAGAAACATCAACACTTGTCAGGAGAAGCTCTCTGTATTTAATAGGGCAGGTGATATGGACCTCATCTGGTGGAAATAGGTCTTTAATTCTTTCCATTAAAGTAGGGGCAATGGATTTGCCATTTTTCTTTGGGATTTCCAAAATTAATCCACCATTTGCTGAGTTTTGTTTTATCATTTCAACGCCTATTTCTTGAAGATTAATGTTTTCCTTCGCCACCCTAATAATTTGTGGAAGTTTCATAGAGCTTTTGGCAGTTTCGGTGATATATATAACCTCTGTATTTTTAGGTTTTTTCTGTCCTCGGTTAGGGCCACTGTTAGAGGTGGATGTTTGGTGGGTAACCGAAGAGGGTTCAGAGGTAAAAGTTTGCTGGTTCTTGGGTTGGATATGTTTAGGTGAATCAGGTATTTTTTTCTTTGATTTTTTCCCAACTACCTGGGACCACATTTCGGAGGTACGATGGGATTTGCGTGCTGAGGTATCTGTAGCAGAAGATGGCATTGATCTTCTAGAGGTCGGTTGAGCCAACTCTGTGGTTTTCCCATGATCTGCTAAGGCTATTTTGTTTAAGATTGCAGCGATTACATCATTCTTGAAATCGCGGAGTTTCTCATCGATGTTGCTACTTATGAGTTCTACAAGGTTGCTGGGGTTTGGTGTGTCTCTATTTGAAACGGAGGTAGGAAAGTTATCGGCCGCAGGAGCCAAGGCTTTCCTAGCCAACTGAATCGCGACGCTCTGCAGTTGGGTTTCAAGAAATCTGTTTCTTTCGGTTAATTTTTTGTTTTTCGCTTCTAGTGCCTTTGCCTTTTTGTGGTTGAGTTTCAAGGTCTCCAGCTCCTGGCAGACATCTTTGATGTTCTGTTCGGCAATTTTGAGCTTTTTTTGGTAGGTGCCTGTAAGATTAGAGGATTTAGTACGAACAGTTTCTATTTCACGCATGCTTTCAAGAAGAGACTCAACAAGAGTAGTAAGTTTGGTTGTTAGGGATGGTGCCCTAAACTAAACTGCCGGGAATAGAGAATCGGGTTTGTAAAATAAAATGCACGCCGTCGATTTCCCTTAAACCCAAATACCGTTTATTCATCTCTAGTGTTAGGTCGTACAGGGCCAAGGATGAAATTCTCATGGGGACCACATGTGGCCTGGAGAGCGTTGAGAATTTCTGTTTGTGTAGCAGAAACATCAACACTTGTCAGGAGAAGCTCTCTGTATTTAATAGGGCAGGTGATATGGACCTCATCTGGTGGAAATAGGTCTTTAATTCTTTCCATTAAAGTAGGGGCAATGGATTTGCCATTTTTCTTTGGGATTTCCAAAATTAATCCACCATTTGCTGAGTTTTGTTTTATCATTTCAACGCCTATTTCTTGAAGATTAATGTTTTCCTTCGCCACCCTAATAATTTGTGGAAGTTTCATAGAGCTTTTGGCAGTTTCGGTGATATATATAACCTCTGTATTTTTAGGTTTTTTCTGTCCTCGGTTAGGGCCACTGTTAGAGGTGGATGTTTGGTGGGTAACCGAAGAGGGTTCAGAGGTAAAAGTTTGCTGGTTCTTGGGTTGGATATGTTTAGGTGAATCAGGTATTTTTTTCTTTGATTTTTTCCCAACTACCTGGGACCACATTTCGGAGGTACGATGGGATTTGCGTGCTGAGGTATCTGTAGCAGAAGATGGCATTGAACCTCTAGGGGTCGGTTGAGCCGACTCCGTGGTTTTCCCAAGATCTGCTAGAGCTATTTTGTTTAAAATTGCAGCGATTACATCATTCTTGAAATCGCGGAGTTTCTCATCGATGTTGCTACTTATAAGTTCTACAAGGTTGCTAGGGTTTGGTGTGTCTCTATTTGAAACAGTAGTAGGAAAGGTATCAGCCACAGGAGCCGAGGCTTTCCTAGCCAACTGAATAGCGACGCTCTGCAGTTGGGTTTCAAGAAATCTGTTTCTTTCGGTTAATTTTTTATTTTTCGCTTCTAGTGCCTTTGCCTTTTTGTGGTTAAGTTTCAAGATCTCCAGCTCCTGGCAGACATCTTTGATGTTCTGTTCAGCAATTTTGAGTTTTTTCTGGTAGGTGCCTGTAAGGTTAGAAGATTTAGTACGAACAGTTTCTATTTCACGCCTGCTTTCAAGAAGAGACTCAACAAGAGTAGTGAGTTTGGTAGAAATGTTTACCGGAGAATCCTGTTCATCTAAGGTATCTGAAAGCTCAGATAGGGAATCATCTGGATCAGGATTTGTTTTCTTATACGTTTTCTTCTTTCCGCGACTGCTACTTTGAGAGTTAGCGGAGATGTTATGCTTACGTTTTACAGAGGATGTAGTGCCAAGGATTGAACTTGTACTCAGTTCATCCGATGTGGATTTTTGAGTAGCTAAGGGAGGGCTTCTTTGAAGTGTAAAAGTTGGTGAATGAATTGCGTTATATGGTATTGTATCAATACTAGTAGATGCAATACCTTTCTGGAGAGTTGGAGTTAATGGATCCTCTTGATTCATTATTTTCTCCGTGTAGTTCAGAATACTTCTGTTTACAGAGTTTCGTACTTGCG